ACAGCAGTAGGGTGTTATTTCCAAGATTATTCAAATGAAGCAACCATCTTTTTGTCGGCTGCTTCTCACCGGCCTTTCACCGCAGATGCAGGCCAAGTACTCATTTTGATACTGTGGTCATGCAGAACTGGTGTATGTCTCCTGGATTTGTTAGAAGTTCGACGACTGTTCGAAATTACCTTTGCGCTTTCCACGGCATCCACCAATACAAGCACAACAAAGCAAGTCAAGCGTAGTCCAGCAGCTGACAGGTTAGGTGTAACACCTAGGGCGTTTGTCAGTCCATATTGCCTTTCTGGATGCTTAAGTTCTGATCACTGACTTAGTTAGGATGGAGATGATCGACGGTGGGCGGAGCAATGGAGCAGCACTGGGTGAGGGCCTGTGCTAAGATTTGAGTACATACGAAGTAACTAGAGCCAAAAATCCACGCCAGGTTGCGTCCTTTACATAGTTTTAATGCCGGAAGTGTAGATAAATGCAATGTTATAATTGTAAGGGGTCAAAAATACGAGAAAGAAAACATTAAAAACGTTGACTGAAGAAATAAACAAGAAGAATGGGACTATACTGTATAAGGCGTTACATTAGTGAACTCTAGTCCTATGCTTTAACCCCTTAAAACCCATTCCCGTAGGTTGTGTTGATTATAAAGTCATTTTTTTCCTTTTTACTTTTGTAATCTTGCTCTGTTTGGGTATTCTGCATAACTGGGCTGTCCATTTAAAAAGTACAAATAAACGCGATTCCATTCGTTTTATTTGCAATTGTTGCCATTTCTTTCAGTCATAGTTCCCCGGAACTTCTATCTGATCGAGGAACTCGAAAACGGACAGAAAGGTTTTAACGATGGAACTATTAGTTGGGGGTTGGAAGATAACGACGACTCCTCTCTGACATCTTGGAATGGCATGATAATCGGTCCTGCAAAAACAGCTTTCGAGAATCGAATCTACACATTACATATTAGGTGTGGTGAAAATTATCCTGACGTTGCCCCGGAAGTCAAGTAAGGCTTCAGCCCTTTTAGATTTTATCTTATTAGCTTACATATTGCAGTATTCTTTTCCTTAATAAAGGCTCCAATCCTCATTATAAATTCCGTGGTCGGTTTTCATCATTAACTAAGCCATTCCCGGCAGGATCACTTTACTGATTTGTCTAACATGTTATCCAGTCACCTTTATAGCGAGACCTTAGCCACCGCTGTCTCTTCACTATGCGTCTTCCTGCTAAAACCCAAGCCCCAATCTGTCTCACTCGAAACAGTAGGACCGCCATTGTGAGAGCCTGCCAGTCGCAAAACCTGTTCCGAGGTTTCGTTCAAATGGCCGAACAACTAATTAGGTTTGTGTTGTATCGAATATATTCTACGGGATTAGCCCTGTGCCGTTATACTTCCCCTCTAAAAGAAGGTAGATAAGACGGAGTAATGCACTTGAAAAATAATCAGCCTAATCGATGTCACCATGGCATCTCCATTGACAGTTTCAAATATAATCGCTCCACCAAAAGCTTATTGATAAGAATATGTAGACCAGATATAAATTGAAACGATGGAATCCGATGGCAATTATAAACAGAGGACTGAGAATGTAGAGTAAACTAGCAAACAATTGCCGAATTCTTAATTGGTGGCCACGGGGTATGTGTTCTATTGGATCGTGGCGGCGTCGCCTTGTGATCTTCGATTTGCGTCACTGGCGTGCCTGCTAGCAGGTTAAGTTCCAATCGGGAGTCTGCTGCCGACCGACTTATTCGCATTTGCGACTCACATTCAGTCTAAACGATTATAATGAACGTTGTTGAAGTAGATTCGAAATTATCCTTTTACAAGAGTGTCGAGTCTTGGTGGGGCTGCCACCAAACATTAGTTGTCTCTGATTGCGAGGGTCCTGTAAAACCCGTCGTGGTTTTTCTTCCTATCCAACCAGAACTGAGTTA